AAGATTAATAACCCTGGTGCCATTATATCGAGCTTCAAAAATCCCAAATCGGCCCGTGCAGGAGTAGGCCTGGGCTCTATCCCCAGGATTGTCTACTGGAACTGGATGCTCGTGGTAGGTTCTGAACTAGTCGAGGCATACTGGATTACCTTGTCTGCATCTTTGGGAGAGATTACGACTCCTAGGTGAGGAAAGTCAGTGAAACGTAGTATACGAGTATCTTCAGAAATGATGATAGCTGTAGGGACGTTGGACGCAGAAATGTAACTCTTTCGGTCATTGAATTCTGCAGTCTGGTCAGATTGGACACATATGATGATACTTCTCAGGGCTTCTGCCAATAACTTTGAATTGCAAGCCGATAAGGTCTTATTGTACGCGAGAGGCAAGTTCCTGACAGTGGCCCTTGCTGGAAACGTGCTCCACCCCTGGATGGTTAAGCTGTTTCCCAGAGTTAAAAAGTCCCAGCAAACCAACGATCAACAGTTCCTGATGCGACAATCACTGCCCATGGGATACCCTCAAGTAAAGTTGAGAAATTTGGACCCTGATTTCCAGCCGAGACAGAAACAAGTATACCCTTTTCCATGGCACCAAAAGCAGCTATTGCGATCAGATTCTCGTACAAATCAATTGTCAAATAACTCAAAAGAAATTGAGAGGATGTTTACACCATCAGCCACAACATGGTCAATGCCTGCAAGAGCATCAGAAGCATAGCTTCCTTCATCCGAAAGAACTTTATAAGCAGCGAGTCGAGTACGAGGAGCAACGCCCCTTGCTGTTCCTGGAGCGTAGCCAAAGAATGAAACGTCTTCAACATAATTTCCCGCTGCGATAGACGACACGTGTGCCATGACCAAAAGTATCCTCGTGGAATTCATATTTATAATGTCAGGAGACGCGGCAACAACTCGGTTAAAGTATCTAGCTCCATGAGTTTCTTGTTACATCATGATGAATTGAAATTTTGGCCTGATTGACAAGTCCCCTTCCATAGTGCTGGAATTTCTGTCATTCCATCATCTCTAAAGCTCGGACTTTCCGGCCTCAGAAGAATGATAAGATCAAACAAACCATGAGATCGGGAGAATAGAAACTGCTTGACCATCTAAAAAAGCAAACACTTGTGACCAGTTTTCTAAAACGCATCGTGGAGGCGAAGTTTCAACCTTTACGATGCCTAGACGTTAAAAAAACGTTTTCTTACTTTGAATATTAATTTTATTTTTTAACCATTTAATAATTAAAATAATGCATATCATACATCTAAAATTATAAAATATTATATTTACTTAATAATTCCTATAATTAATCAATTATATAATTTTCAAATTTTCGAAAGCTAAAAACTAAACTTTTTTCATAATTTTAATTTTCAACTAGACATGTCATACTTAATAGATTTATAGGAATTTCATACATGCTTTCGAAGTCTTCAACAAAATAACGAGTCTCAAGATCAATAGCACGTAGCTTAATCTTATTTCAACTCTTTATCAAATAAAGTCATTTTACAAATAGGGTCTTTTAAAAACTTGAAATTAAAGTCAAAAGAAA